GGGCCAGGGCACACTCCAGCACACTAGCAGCATCAAAAAATGAAGAGAAAATCCTGAAGACCATCTTTCAAATAACGGCTACCCAATCAACTTCGTCAAAAAATACTAGCCGCATGCATCGTCAGAAACCAAATCAAGCACAGAAATCAACAAAATGATCGCCCTACCATACATAAAAGTCATATCAAAAACCACGACGAGACTGCTGAAAGCTTTTGGAATAGGTGTTGTACACAAATCGACAAAATCACTACAACCAATCCTTTGCAAATCAAAGGACGAAATGACAAAAGAAGACAAACCGAACATCATCTACAAAATAAATTGTGCCAACTGCGAAAAACACTAGATCGGAGAAAATGGACACCCTCTTCATCTTTGCCTTCATAAACATCAATTAGCGGTTAAACGCCATGACGTTTCTTTACTTATATCAATGCGCGTGCACAACTGCGGTAACTTATTTGACTGGAAAAATGTGGAAATCTTGGAAAGAGGAAATTAAAAAAAAGGAAATTTTTAGAAGCTTGGCACTCAGGTCAATCAGCAATCAACAAGCGCATTGAAATCGGTCCAATTTATCAACCAATCAGGGAAATTATTCACAAACATAGGAACAAAAATCAAACCAATTGGAGATACAACTAAAACAAAAAAGTAACCAATGACGGGTTCAAGGTCAGCAAGAACTAATCAACATCGAGGTCTATAGGACAAGCTGTGAACCACATATGGAGAGATTTGAACGCTTCACTTCTATCTGAAGTTTTTGTTGATGATGTTGTGGTGACTCACATTCATCACGAGAACACGACTGGTTTAATAAAAACAATTATTATTATAACCAACTGTACCAGTGCTTGTTTTAATGTGCTTTTGTTTGACTGTGCTAATGACAGCTATTTTGTGCTTCCATTCTGTTACTTACACTTTGATTGTGACTTCGCGCGAATTCGGTTACGTTCTGTAACCAAGCTTGTATCCTGGCACGATCTTGGTATCCTTTCGATGCCACGAGATCGCCAGCGAATATATCTCGATTTGGTCCATTAACTGTCTTCTGGTATTTGGCTTCTCGGGGATTTTATGGATTTATTTGGTTACGTTCAACCCTCGCCTTCTGATTTACTTGGCACGTGTTTCTTTGTAGCGGTGTTCATAGTTAATCCCAATTCGATGCCACGCTACAATGTCGTTCAGAAGAACGATGAAAGCTCCACAACCAAACCATTCAGCTCAGAGAAAAAACCCCATCAATATTTCAAACCGCTCCACGTAGTCTTCAAAGTCGTCCCACTTCAGTTAATATCAAATTTTTCAAGGTTCGACTCTATCGTGATGCTAATACGATAATTAGAAACATTCGAATTGGTGTATTTACTAGGAATCCTCGAAATAGTGCAGTCTACGACAGACAGAACTAAATGAGCACAAATTAATCAAGTTAAAAAATCACTAGTTTGTACAAATACCATACATAGTCGTGTTTCCAAAGGCTGACGAAATCTGAATAATTCGTTACACTGAGGATTTATGTGTACTCCACAATATCTTAAAACCCATCTATCGACCATCTAGATTGTTTCTATTTATGACAATCCAGTAACACCTTATTAGCGTTCTGAATGGACAAGGAAATACACTACCCCATCTAGAGGAGAAATTAGAAGTTTTTGAAATAGTAGTTCATTTCCTATAATCCCAGAGATTGGTGTCAGATTACTGAATAATGAGCATGTCATACTTTGGCTGTTTGTTACTGCTGTATACACTGCTTCATGTACGTACTTACATATGAATTCACGAACATTTGTATTTTAGTTAGAAAGATTAATCAGTAAGACAGAAAAACTTTACAACGCAAGGTTCAGCGACATGTTGGCTAGATATTAAATACATTTGTGCCATATAATTGTTGAAAGAACGTATAGATGTTATAAGGTGACGAAAAGAATTCGTTAATAACACTTTGTGACTTTGGGGAACTTTTACTTTAGAACATAGTCCACGTTTGGATAGAAGCTCCACAGCTGCTTTCCAAAGACATGATGCTAAAGAAGAGCAAGGAAGAACATGAACGACAAATAAAGCGACTATAATCTGTCTACAAAGCCTAGATGATTGTAGTGGAACAAGCTAAAGTATCTTTAATCGGTAGATAAAACTCAAAATAATTACAGTTACTGGAACAAACTGTCTCTAAATAAACTAAAGATAAACCGCTTCAACAGAATATAGAGCGTGTCCTGAAATACAAAAAGACTGAACACATTTAAATTATCAAACAAAAAGCTGAAGTATAAAGCGGGATGAATGACTCTTTATTCCAAAAATATAACTAAAGAACATGAAGTTAACCACTATTAATATGATTTTTTAACGTTTATTTTTATGAAGTCTCAACCCTATCTCTTAACTTAAAGGTCCAAACTTGTATATAATATTTTGTCTTGAGAGAACGGCGAAGCTAACTTAGCACTGAAAAAAATGAATTTAAGAGGTGATGAACATAGGAGAACAACCTTAACGTCACTGAGTACTTACTTGGGTTTCAGTCATAAATAGCCTGAAATAAGTAAGATGTGGTGCTCTGCAGATATAGGTGATTTAAAGTCGTCATCCTGACCTCTGTACTTGCTGGTCAGTGACTCTACCCCCTGTCTATTTTTGGTTCTAGTTCCTTTCAAGGTGATGTGTAGATCTTATATTCCAACTTAATCCTAGATCCATCCTTACCTATATTAAGACTTTGTCGTAGACTTAAAGCTGATATATAAATCTGATCCCCTTGACATGGCTATCATTTTTGATTACTTGCTGACTTACATCTGTCAACCCTCGTGAAGGAGCATAGGCCGCTCACCAGCATTCTCCATCCAACCCTGTCCTGGGAAATCCTTTCCAGTTCTTCCAAGTTGCCATTCATCCTTTTCATATCTGCTTCTATTTCCTGACACAATATGTTCCTAGGCCTTCCTCTTTTCCGTTTCCCTTCAGGATTATAAGTTAGTTCTTACCTCGTGATACAGCTTGATGATTTCCATGATGTATATCCTATCCACCAACATCTTTTCCTGATTTCCTGTTCACCTGGAAACTGGTTTGTTTTCTTCCACAGTAGACTATAGCTGATTGTACCAGACTGTATAACACAGGCTGTACCGTTTGAGGTATTTCGTATTTTTGATGTGATTTGTTCTGTTTTCTAAATTAGAACCGTTTATATTGAGCACAGAGTTTGTGTTTTGATATAATATAATACGAGTATCTCAAAGACGCGTTGTTAGCTATACAGAGGAACTTGGTCTGGTCTAATCGAATAAATTTTGGGTTCGTCAGTCCGTTGTTCCATCCCAATATTGGTTGTTCGGTCGCTACGGTTCTCACACGGTACAGTCTGTGCCATACAGTCAGAAGTTTCTCTAACGCAAAGTAGTGCGCTAAACGATGAAAGAGACAGTTAATACTAAAGGGTTTGATACCTGAGAATCAATACAAATATTCCCAACAAGATGGGATCAAATATCTATCTCCAGGGATACCAGCAATCCTCCCAAGAAGACAGACAGAAGGTTCACAATCACACACTGAACCACGCCGTGACCTTGAGCTTAGTCAAACACGACCTTACTGTCAATTGTCCGACAACATGCAATAGAAAATTAGGTAACGAAAGATATGTTTTTAATCAAAATCACATAATAAAGGCCCAAACGAGGAAGACTGAAGCACAAAAGATATGGTTAAACGAGATCGGAACAAAGGTTAAAATACACAACAGGGAGAAGAAACAAGTAAATGACAATACTGTTCAACAAAGAAGCTGCAGAGGGATTTACATCGTTTTCTTTCCGTCACATTGATGGTATCCGGCCAATGAATGTTGAGTATCTTGCATAGACAGTTATTTATAAATACTTGTACTTTCTTGATGGTGGTTGTTGTAGTTCTCCAAGTTTCAGCTCCGTACAGTAGAACTAACTGTCTTGACGTTCGGATTGAAGATTCTCACTTTGATATTGGTTGAAAGTTATTTTGAGTTCCATATGTTCTTCAATAGTAGGAATGCGACCCTTGCTTTGCCAATCCTTGACTTTACGTCTGCATCTGAGCCTCCTTGTTCATCGATGATGCTTCCCATGTATGTGAAGGATTCTACATCTTCCAGAGTTTTGCCATCAAGAGTGATTGGATTGCTGTTCTCCGTTTTGAATTTGAGGACCTTGGTTTTTCCTTTGTGTATGCTGAGGCCTACTGATGCAGAGAATGCTGCTACACTGGCTGTCTTTTTCTGCATCTGCTCGTGTGTATGTGATAGGAGGGCCAGGTCATCTGCGAGGTCTGAATCGTCTAATTGGTTCTGAGCTGTCCATTGTATTCCGTGTTTTCCTTCAGATGTCGAGGTCTTCATAATCCAGTCGACCACCAGAAGAAAGAGGAAGGGAGAGAGTAAGCAGCCTTGTCTGACGCCGGTCCTTACTTGGAATCCTTACGGAATCCAGCCTGTTGATCTTCAAGTTGGGCGACTACTGAATCTGTAACAGCTAAGGTTGGTTGGTTCAGAGTTGACCCCAAACAACCAAGCATATGCCAAAACAGTATTGTTCAAGTATTCATTCACTTCCTTGTTTTGTATAAGCGTTATATTCCCTATTATCTTATATTGAATGTTGAGAGCCTTTGTTTGTCTGAACAGATAATCCCATGCTCCACTGTCACCGCGCGAAGATCGAAATAAAGACCTATTCACTACTTCTCTGGTTTCTTCTATCAATAGCACGAGGGTTACCTTAAGGCACGAAACTGGTGAGCCCTTTTTGAACACAAATTTAACCTCATTTCTGTTATTAACATTTTTTTTACTTTATCATAAAAGTAGACCTGATTATCCGTAAACTAATTTGAGTATATAACTAGTTTATTCCGTATTATCTTAAGTTATTCGTGTTATAGTAACCACTTTTTGTGCTAACTTTATTGCTATATTTGTCACATACCTCATGTCAGACTCAATAGAAACCCATAATCTGGAGGATTTGTCACCAGTGGAGATAGACACTGTTATGACTACGAAATCCCGACTTCCAGAATTTGATCGTAGTGATCCTGAGTTGTGGTTTGCTCAACTAGAGCATTATTTCACGAGACACAATATCAAATCTGAAGGGATTCGCTATAGAGACTTGTGTTCTATCCTTCCTCCTTCAGTCGCCAAAGAAGTCCGTGACTTGATTTTAAGTCCACCATCACCACAACCATACACCATCTTAAGACGAGAGATAATGAACCGTTTATCATTATCAGATAGTCAAAGAATCCAAAGACTTTTTCAAGGTGAAACACTAGGTGATCGGTCGCCGTCACAGTTTTTACGTCACCTCCAAGTCTTAGTGGGTGATAACACAGTGGGTGAAGCAGTCCTAAAACAAGGATGGATACAAGCTCTCCCATGCTACGTCCAACACTGTTTGGATGCACAGGATCCTGAAACCTCATTATCTCATTTAGCGCGTATAGCCGACAGAATAATGGAAAGAGGTCCTTCAACTGGATCAGGCACAATAAATCACACACAAAAAGTAGAATCAGCAAAAGACCCCGTAATAGAAGGACTCATTGCGAGTGTTAAGAGTCTCACTGAGGCTGTCACCAAAATGCAAATGGGTCATAGAAACAGGAGCAGGTCACCACAACGACCACGATCCAAGTCACAAAACAGGTCACAAATGTCCAGACAATCTGGGCAGTTCTGTTGGTACCACTGGAAGTTTGGTGTCAACTCAACCAAGTGCATGCAACCATGCGCCTGGCCTAAGCATAATTCTAAGACAGCGGGAAATGAGTAACCCCTCCCCAGGTCGCGACGACTGAGGAGGGGCGCCTAAACAGTCGCTTGTTTTATGTTAGAGACAGAAACTCTGGCTTGAATTTCTTGGTGGATACTGGCGCTGCTCTTAGCATCATCCCTCGAAATAAAACTGAGATTAGTCGAGAAACATCATCAATTACACTTCAAGCGGCAAATAAAACTAAAATTGCGACATTTGGGCAGAAAACTTTAACCCTAGATTTGGGGTTCAGGAGGCAGTTTCCTTGGGTTTTCACGGTAGCCGACCTAGATCTGGCAATACTGGGGATGGACTTTCTAGAGAGATACGAATTTCTAGTTGACACCAAGAAACGGCGATTAACACTAAAAGAAACTTCGTATTACACAAAAGGCAAAGAAAGTCACATCAACGCACTTAACTTGATTCAAACTCCCCCAGTAACAACAGCCAAATTCCAAGATATACTCGCGGAATTTCCAAACTTAACTAAACCAAACCCACAGCCTTCTAAAGACAAACTAAAAGTGAGTCACACTATCAAAACCGAAGGTGCACCGGTGTTTGCAAAACCCAGGAGACTAGCACCAGATAAGCTCAAAATCGCTAGGGCCGAGTTTGATTATATGCTACAACTGGGTATCATCCGTCCCTCTGATAGTCAATGGGCATCCCCTTTGCATATGGTCCTAAAGAAGGATGAAGGTGACTGGCGACCGTGCGGGGATTACAGAGCCCTAAACCGTCAAACCGTACCTGATAGGTACCCAATACCTCATATCCAAGATTTCACCAACGGTTTACAGGGTATGAACATATTCACTAAAATTGACTTGGTCAGGGCATATCACAATATCCCGGTGGCTGATGAAGATATTCCCAAGACAGCTATTACTACACCCTTTGGCTTATTCGAGTTTGTACGCATGCCATTCGGCCTGAGAAATGCGGCACAGACATTTCAAAGATTCATAGATAACCTACTTCGAGATATGCCATTTGCGCAGGGGTATATAGACGACTTGTTAATTGCCAGCCCCGATTTGCAATCACACGAACAGCATGTACAAGCAGTGTTGAAAAGACTGGATGAACATGGAATAAACATACATCAAAGTAAGTGTGTTTTCGGTGTTCAAACTTTAGAATTTCTCGGTCACACAATAAGCCCAGAAGGGATTAAACCTATAACAAAAGAAGTGGATACTATCAAACAATACCCCGTACCTAGTTCTCTAACACAACTGAGAAGTTTTCTAGGCCTAATTAACTTTTATCGCAGATTCATACCAGGTTGTGCACAATTAATACAACCTTTGACAGATTCACTCAAAGGAAAACCAAAAGAATTCAAACTGTCTTCTGACGCCATCGAAGCTATTAAACAGCTTAAAGATAAACTGGCTCAAGCAACTACGTTGATATATCCGAATTCTCTTTCCCCACTTGCTTTGATGGTGGATGCTTCAGATAAAGCAGTAGGCGGTACCCTTAACCAACTGGTTAAAAACGCCTGGAAACCAATTGCTTTCTTCTCGAAAAGACTCGCTCCAGCCGAAACAAGGTATTCTACCTTCGGGCGAGAACTTCTTGCAATCTACCTGACCATTAAACACTTCCGACACATGTTAGAAGGTAGGGAATTTATAGTCTTTACGGATCATAAACCACTGACGAATGCATTAAAAGCGAGAGCCGATAAATACTCACCTCGAGAAGTCCGACACCTTGACTATATATCACAGTTCACAAGCGATATCCGACATGTCAAAGGTCAGGACAATCAGGCGGCAGATGCTTTATCCAGACTAGAAATGAACGTGCTACAGCAGTCTACAGTAAACTTCGAGACGTTAAGACACGAACAAGAGCAGGACCTAGAATTGCAAAACCTACTTAAAACAAACAATTCAAGTCTTAATTTAAAACAATTCCCATCACCTATCGATGGTATTCTAATTTATTGTGACACGACCAAGGCAAGGCCGCGACCTTTCGTTCCCAAAAATATGCGAAAGTTGATATATAATAACTTTCATTCTTTGTCTCATCCTGGCGCGAAAGCTTCAACAAAACTAATCAATGCCAGATATATATGGCCGAATTTACAGAAGGATGTACACAAATGGGTTAGAGAGTGTTCAGCATGTCAACAATCAAAGATTAATCGTCACACAAATTCACTCATGTGTGTTTTCTCGCAACCAGATGCACGTTTTGCCCATGTGCATATCGACTTGGTAGGTCCTTTACCTCGTTCAAACGGCTTTAATTATCTTTTTACATGCATAGATCGATTTACCAGATTCCCTATAGCCATCCCGATAGCGGACATCACAGCGGAAACAGTAGCCAAAGTTTTCATGCAGAACTGGGTAACCATTTTTGGTACACCCATAACAATAACGACGGATAGAGGAGCGCAATTCGAATCCGAACTATTTAATAACTTGGCTAAACTTCTAGGCTCCAATAGGATACGCTGCACTGCATATCATCCTCAGGCTAATGGGATGGTAGAACGTTTTCACGGTCAGTTAAAAACCGCCCTTATATCTCACTCAAACCCCAATCAGTGGACAGAATTCCTACCGTTAGTTATGTTGGGAATACGAACATCTGTCAAAACTGACGCACAGTGTTCAGCTGCGGAACTGGTTTTCGGAACAACTCTGAGACTACCAGGTGAATTTATTAACCCCAATACTAACAGTCAAAAACTTAATTTAGGAAACTACGTAGATCAACTACGGGACCATATGTCCAAACTTAAGCCAATTAATACTCGCGAACAATCGCGTGCCGTATATGTACCTAAAGACCTAAGCAATTGCACGCACGTCTGGATAAGATGTGACAAAATAAAAGCACCACTTAGCCCTCCATTTGAAGGTCCTTTCAAAGTCGTCTCAAGAAAATCTAAATATTTCGTGATAGAAAAACATGGAAACATCGACACAGTAAGTATTGATAGGCTAAAGCCGGCTTATCTAGATCATGAACCGCCATACGTGTTGTTAGATCGTTTAACTGACAAATCCATTACGGAATCGAAATGCAAAAACGATAAATCTTTACAAATGACTAAAACGGTTCGCTGGGCACATCCGATTAGCCAATCAAGGATGTTGACAGTTTCAGCTGCAGGATAAAATCTAACCACGTAGCTAATCAGACCCTTCATCTACTTAAAAATAACTTTTCTCCTCATTCCGCCTCACCTACAACTCCCCAGACCTTTTGCCTTTGATATATAAGTGTTATGTTAAATATATTTTTTAAATACTGGACACATAAGCTAGGTATTCCGAAACGATGGCTGCGGATTTTAATCAAACTCATACAACTAACACTGGCAAATACAACGAATTCAAAAAGCAACCCAGGCGAGTTTTATAATTTCTTTTTCTGGTTAATTAACTATGTTGGCTGTACTTCTTATATATTTATATACATTTTTCACGTAGACTGGCTATACATATATACCATATGAACTACTTCTAAAAGTTTTCGGTCGAAGATGTGTTTAGTAGCTTGATACGCTTAATACTACTATTAATAAGTGGTTTTCTAGACAAAACATTTTGGATTAAACTATGGTCAAATACTTAATAAAGTTCTCATCATTTTTTTTCATGTTTAGGAAACTTACATAATGACTTAACCAGTTTTCCTACAGCATTCTTTTTAGTGTGATCATATAACCCATCTTTATTGGCAATATTCAGATTTTTTTAATTTCTGACATTTAAGAATCAATAACCGTGAAGATATAGTACAGTGCGTTACTGTAAGGTTACTATGTCAGCCGCATTGATTCCACATACCTAATTTTAAACAACTTATAAGGGAACTGTTTAGTAATCATAACATTGAACTGACAATATGAATATCACGACTATGCTAACGATAAACCAATTATTATTAGTGGTCCATACAAAGTCCTGGAACTTAACATTAGCGTTATAAAAAAGACATTTTATGTCAATAACTGATATATATACTCTTTGTTTTAAATATAACGTAAAATGGAAATTTACTAAACTTGTAGTTTTTTTTTCTATAGTAATAATATTCATGTAAACAAAGGACTTATACTTTTCCAATATGGCACTTTGATATATCAATCTGTCCTCTTGTCATTTTTTCTCTCATATGTGCGCGACTTACGGGCAACAAACATCGTATTGAAGGTGGGTCTGGTGAACAAAAACGCAGGTCCCACACGCACTCGAACCTCTGCCCTCCTGAATGCTAGACCGCGTGCTTAGCCGTTAAGCCACATCAGACCACGGAGGAAGTGACTTCAATATTTCCTTACACCAATTAATCACTCATAATACTAATGAGTAATAGGACTTACACACTTCTGAGGTGCAAACCAATTCGTTACTTGGATGAATTGACGATATATTGCTTCAATATATATTATGCATATCTAAATCAAACAAGAAAAGGGTATTTGACACAACTGTACTTGATCCGCATAATCTACACAATTTTTTTGCTTCTTAACCGTATATTCCTTTCCGTTTTGTGGAGTATTCTGATGCACCCTTGGTTACGCACCTAGTTGTAAAACGCGGTCATCACAGGCTCAAGGTCATGCGTTTGATCGATTTTGTTAAAGAGTCCAACTTCTAGCAAGTTCACCCTTTTACATATATGCATTACAAAAGAGTTTTTTTTGTTTTCATGGTTTTTCGTGCACAAGATATCTACACTATGTCTATTCTCTTCCAGAATACCAATCCGTTCTGGAGACCAAGCACTTACATGGAACCGAACAATTATCAATTACATTTATGTATTTCCATTTTGTATCTTATTATTTTATGCAGGCAGTGGAGCGGTTCTTCAGGTTTGCTTGATTTTCACCATCACTTTTGAAGTAGATTCTTCTTTACTTTTTACTTGAGGGCGACTCAAGAGGCAGGTGAGTAAACACCTGATAGCCGGTCTGAGCACGGAAAAATCGTACCTCACCAACATGGTGTTGGGTAGCCCGCTCGCGGCAC